GACATCTACGGCGCCTCTTTTTACTTATTAGCAGATTTTGGCGCCCTTTCCTGTCCGGCGCCCTAGGCGATCGCCGAGCCGCGCCTTATTCTAAGTGTCACTGTCTACAACTTTAAAAGCTTGTCATTATTACAAGTGTTAAAATATATGTGCCAAAGCTAACTAATAAATGACTATCAATTTAATCCGAACCAATCAGACACATGGTTTCGTAACATGTCAGTGCCATTGTTACTGCAGTGATCTTACAAAATGTTTTCAATTTTTAAGATAAAGTTCTTTAAGAATACGTTTAAATTGTATTCATTAAGTAAAAATCAATTTGCGGTAATAACAGGCTTGTTAATTGACTGCGCCTACATTGTGTCCCTTTCCCCAGCACTGCCCACCTGGCTGTTTAAATCAATTCTATTATTGAATCATAAGTAAGGGACAATATTTGATCACGTTCCGGTGATAAATAATTATCACACGTCTAAACAATCATAATTTATTCATTGTTATACAAACAATTGAAAATTTATGTCAAAAGTCTTGGAACCGATCAAATTGCTTCAAAATCGAAATCCAAATATCACGGCACTTTGGATCAGACAACACAATTATCACAATTACGTTAATATTGTTGAAACGTTGTGGTTCACCATTACAGAACAGAACAAAATAAGTGCAAATAGCAAAAAAGCGCTTAAGTATTGCTTTAGACAAACTTTGTGCCCCTTGACTAATATACTTTTACTTCTATGAATGTGTCACCAATGGGAGCAGGAGAGTCAACTTTTACCTCCCCGTTCCCGCCCGGTTATCCACCCATCCTTGTGTAGTGACTTACCTGTCAGGAGTTCTCGTCCTGCATCTAGAGGGTGGCGGGGAGCGTGATGCCGCGCGCAGTAACGCCGGGTCGTCATATCGACGGGAGACTACAGTGAAGTCGTGGTGAGCGTCTATTAACTTCTGCAGACGGGACACCATTTCGAAGTCCGTCACGGAGGACGGCACAAGGATACCAAGAAGCTTGGCGATGGAATGCCTAAAAAGATGTATTTTTGTAAAAATAAGATCATAAATTCTTGTAGTAATCGAATTCGATATTATTCTAGAAAATGTAGACCATCTTACTAATATCATAAATGAGAAAGTATAGATGGATGGATGTTTGTTAGTTTGCGGCCTAAATGGCTGAAGGATTTTGATGAAATTTGGTATAGATTTAGAGGATAGTCTGGAAGAACATGTAGGTTGTTCACATTGTTTTTTTTTTTACCACGCCGTCGGAGTCGCGGGCGAAAGCTAGTATTTAATGATATATATTCTAAAATGTTTAATAAATAAAATGTCTACGCATGCGAAGCGATTGTCGAGTAAAAAATATTTCTAACCTCATCGTAAAAGGCTATGTAAACTGTTGATTGTATTAACATCAATAAAACTACTCATCTTATTTATTTCTAAGATCTTAACGAAAAAAACTGTTCGAGTTTGTTATTTTTAACACAGTGATACAGTGTAACGACAATGAACTATGCGAGGGGCATTCAATCGTGGCGGAGTTTTTGTGCCAGTAACAATGACCCTATTCACTTTATCTTGAAGATATCAAAAATAATTTATGAAATATTAATATTTTTATATGTCAACTGAATGCAATTATTTTTATCAGTGTTCTAATTTCAATTAAGCCTTTTTTAACTTTCGGGTGACCACTGAAAATTAAAATTATTATGTTCTCCAGATAGATGTTAACACTACTAGTTTTCTCCGGCGGCTCCGTCCGTGTGGAATTAAAAAAAAACAAAAGTAAGTGGCCTATTTGTTCTAGACTATAATCTAGATATATGCCGAATTTCATTGAGATCTGTACAGCCGTTTAGCTACAAACTTTAACAAACGCTCAATCATCCAAACTTTGCATTTATAACATTAGTACGGTAGTGAAATTACAGGCATATCTTGTACATAAATATGATTTTTCTTAAGCTACGCATAATTTTGGTATAGTTTAGAGTTTGCTATGCTTATTTACATAATCTATAACACATTACGTTGCTAGAATTTTGTCAAACTAAATAAATAAGAACTTTGTATGCTAAGAATATTGAATCATGTTTACCTGAAGCTTGTTAACTGTGCCTCTCTTCTCTGGCATTCTGCAAGTGCTTCTTTAGCTCTTGCTAAGTCGTCTCTTAGTAAATTGATCTGGTGTTCAGATGTATTTCGTTCCTGTTCATACGTCTCGCCGCTGGTACGAATTTGTTCTTTCAAAATGTTAACTTTCCGATTGTATCGAGTCCTTAATATATCTGCCTCTTCCAACCTCTTCTCTAAATCTTCTATTTTACGTGCTCTTTCCAGAGACGTTATCTAGAGAAATTAACAAAACCAGTAAACATTAGCATCATAAAATTCTGATAGATAACATATCAAAGATAATCAAACGATCATCCTTTTTAAATTCTCGATTTGCCAGTAACATTTTCATTTAAGTATTTATTTACTTTAAAGATTTTTTTATAACAAAAGGTGCAAACAAGCAAGTGGCCACCTGTATCTGCCAAAATGGCGAAGCGACTGCTGCCCATAGACATCCGCAATTGCAGATGCGTTGCCTACCCGTATCCGACAGAGGAGATGCACATAAAGAGGATATTTCCCCTTCCCAGGCTTCTCCTCTACCGTCAAATCCACTTTCCCTTCCCATCCTCTCCTTATAAATAAAGGGTGGGAAAGAGAAAGAGACTTAAATTAGGCCTCCAGCACCACACTCATCAGACAAAACACGGAAATGCTTCCATTACACGCCTGTCTTCTGTGTGGTCGTGGTTTTACAAAGGGCGTCCTGGTCCATTCGTGCTAAGATGTTAAAGCGGGCACTACCACTGTTACATTTACTTTGGAGTTTTAGACCTTACACGAGGAAACGGATGTACGATCAGCATGCTAATAGTTTTAGGGAGCTGTCAATTAATGCAGATATTCCATTTTATGTTTTAGAGTCGTGATTTAACAGTTGATGTATATTTTTTTCATCCATCCATTAACAGTGAGGTTACTAGGTTTATTAGAAATACATTCAAGGTTCGATTAAAAATTCTCGATCAAATCAATTTAAGAAAAGGAATCTCAAGCTTATATTAAAATCATATAAACACGTCGTTTAACTTTACACTTAGGCTAAGTCTTTGTATGAGTCGAACGATCACGTTATCAGGCTCAAAGGGACTTCTAGGGTTATTATTATTCATCCCAACTCAAGGGCACCCTAGAGGGTCGACCCTTGACCTAGATTGAGTTTTTCCGTTAGTTACACAAGACACAACAGTCTTATCCTTAAAATTAACAAACGAGGTCACAAATCCAAAAGACTATCGTGGTCGGTTCCTTTTATTACATGTTTTTTTTTAATCTGATTAAATTCTAAGCACTTATAATAATTGTAACAACTAAATCTTCGAATGAGATCACGTTTGTATTAAGAAAATGATTTTGACCTCGGAAAGCAATTATTCCAGTAAATCTACTTCGAGCTACTCGTTGCCACAGATTATATCCGTGTACTTAGTGTACTATCGAATGACGACTTATTTTGGTCATTACACGTGTTCGAATAATGTATATTTAGTGACGTTTCGTATCTACTTATGTCACGATTCGTGGTCGTGATTTTAAACCCAAATGTTCAACACTGTATTCATATTTGGAAATAGTTTTTCTGTCAATCTATGGAAGCATTAAACGGAGACGACTTTAAAATACAAATAAATGTACCGTACAAAATACGGTAAAATTCCTAACAAGAATGGTCTATATACCCTTATTCAGTCACTAGTTCTTAAAAATGTCCAATTAAATTTTGAGTTTTTAATTTTAAAAATAATTTGGATACATGCAAGCCTTAAAAGCAGATTAATCTACAACAGGTTATTGATAAAAGCAAAGGATTTAAAATCCATGATCAAACGTAAAGTCATCTTGGTATTTGAGCGTTGTATTGCAAATGCATTACATCGGCTTAGGAAAGAATAGTGTTTTAATGTTGCACCAACACATTTAGAATACATTGTGCGCATTTCTAAATCCTTGAGCAACTCTCAGATAAAAGTCGACAATTCTAACACAGAACTTAAGTATTTAGTAATGTCCTTTTAACTTCCACAAGGGAACACATTATTTTATTTCATTTTATAAAAATATTAGTTTATTTTTGTTAATTAATATTTCCTTTAACTATTCCAACTAAGCTCTAGGCTTGTGCTAGGATATGGTTCACGACGATAGTCGAATAGCGGGATTCGAACCCTCGATCGCAAGATAGTCCGTACCCCAAACCTAGGCTATTGGCGCTTAAGATAACTTTAGACGAAACCTTTTACGATTCAATCGAAATTAAAAAAATAATTTTTCTAGATAGATGACTATATATAGTGTAAGTATTAATTAAATTATGTGATAATTAACATATCAAGTATTTAAGTGTAACTAATGTGAATTAACGTGTAGAGGGCGTGGGCGTTGCACTTGACTTGCGGTCGCTTGCGCCTTGACGCCTGTCTCACTGTGACGCCAAGTCGTATGACCTTTATCGTGTACTGGTTTGCGAGCTTTTTGTGCTGCTGCTTTACGAGCTTATTACAATTTATATAATCTGTACTGAGGATTAAAAACCTGTTAATGTTATTTATCTTTCATTATATGTATTGTTCTATTAAATACAATGTATTTGAAAAATTCTTAATACTTGAAAGTAAGCTTTAATACTACCCTAATATTAAAAAATTCAAACTCAAGCGTGTAATAACGATATCAGCTTAAGCGAGAACTAGTTGTTCAAAAATTATCTATATCGTGGGAAAAGTCATTGAATATTAAAATTTATTTATAGCAAGGTTTAACTATTAACATTATTTTAGTCGCAATTTAGTCTGTTTCCCTTTCCGCGCTTTTCTTGAGAGAAAATGATGGGAAGGAAAAGTGGATTTGACGATGGAGGAAACGTGTCGATTAAATGGAGGCAAACCATCTGCAATTGCGGATGTCTGCATTCGCTTCGCTATTTCGGCGGTTTCAGGTGACTTGGCTCATTTTCCACCTTATTAATATAAAAAAAACTGACTTTGTATTCCGCGGCGTCCGCTAGCTGCGCATTAAGGTCCCGCAGCTGCGCGCGGGCATCAGCAAGCTGCGCGGCGAGACGATCGCACTGGCGGGACATCTTCTTACCACGACACGCCGCTTCGTCGCGCTCCGCTTGCAGCACGGCGCGCACGCGGGAACTCTCCTCCTAATTACCAGTCAGTATCAGGAGTATAAACTAAAAGTTAACTTCTTAACCAGTTAACCCAATTCGTCGGCTAAAATCGTTTCGCTATCGTAAAATCCCATGAAGTAGTCTTAGATAATGGCACAAAACATTATAGGAATTAAGAAGAGAAACAAATTATTTGGACTATGGATTTTGAGCTATGAAATATAAATTCATATATTTCTACCATTCGGGTTTCAGAAGTACAGTCGAACTTATTTAAATATCTGCCTAAATATGTTCTCAGATTATCAACATGAAAGGTTTATCTATCCAAAGTGAAACATTTTACCTGAACACTCAGCTTGCGTCTCAGTAGATCCAAATGTAAATCTTTTCTTTGCAGTTGTTCCCTCAATATCCGTATACGCCGTTGTAATTGATATACGACAGCAGTCTGCAATCAATCAAACGCTAAACATACTTTGATACAAGTCTAAAATGTACTAGAACTTTCATAGTACCTATTTCCTATAGCATTTGCGGTGTCGGTGGTGGTTTCGGGATGGAAATCTTAAAGATACCCTGTTTCTGTGAGGTTGTAAACCCTGCTTGGGTTATCAAATTTTACCTACTAAAACCTCCTCGGTGGCTTTTCGGATCCTCAGGGATCTCTGGTAAAACCCACTGTTCGCATTATGTTATAAAGAACTGAGTGATTGGTGACAAAGTGAAATAAGTTTTTTTAAATACTTCTAAGAAGCAAAGTAGAATGTAAATTAACCTTAAGTTGTTCACATAAATATTTCGCTGACATAATATTATTTCGTGTACCAACATCCGGTATATTTTAATTGGCTACTTCAGCTATCTAATTATCTACGGTAGAAATATTTGCATACTTATTCAGTGCTTAGGTTGATAACTTGTAAGTTATTATTACTTTGTAATAATTTAGTGCATACTGTGGTAATATTGCAAGCTTTTGATATCTTCAAGTCTAAATTAACATGCCAATTTTTACATTTCTTACTTCTTTAAGATATGGCAAATCATGGAAAGATCTTTCCCTGCGCAGGCGCGGCAGCGTGCCATAGTAGCCATAATATAGCATCTAGACAAACGGATATATAGACTTTAAAAATATAAAGATGTATATAATAAACATGTGAAAATAATTATATATACAATACACGTCCATTTTATACCCGACGTTCTTACAGTGAAGGAAAACATCGTGATGTAACCTGCACATATCGGCGAAGAAATTCAAAGTTATGTGTGAAGTCAACCAACCCACACTTGGCCAGCGTGGTTGACTATGGCCTAGTAACCCTAACTTAGGGTAGGCTCCGAGCCCCTCAGTGGGGACTTACAGTGAGCTGGTGATGATGATACAATAAACAAAATGAAAGAATTTGAATTCTGTGTCACTGTACAAGAGTATGTAGATATGTATTTTAAACGTTAACAGACAAAGGTCACATTCAGTAGCTTTATTTGACAAATAAAGTAATTAAATTTATGTATAAACTAGTTATGCAATAAAAATCAATGGGTCTTTTAATCTAAATACGTAAAACAAGCTATACTTAAAATGGTTTAAAGCTCGGACTTGAGTACGTTGGAAAGACAAAAGTTTTATCCAAAAGTTTGAGCTTTTATTAAAATGTTATATTTAGATAGAATAGTGCAGCTGTAATTCAGATTGAAACTACCCCTAAAATTAATTTTGGGTATCAAAATAATTGTCGCATAATCATAATTTGAAAAGTTACCGGTAGTCTGTTGTCATTTAACCACATTTTTCTCTTAAATTTACTTATCTAATAATGGATTTATTAAAAAAAAAAATAACATTATATGTACAACTTGATTTTCCATCATTGTCTCCATGCATTTTTCCCAGATTTCCATTCCTAATAAGCTAACAAAGAATTACCTACAAATCCTTACATAACGTATAATTAGATTGTTGTAAA